TTTATTTACAAGAATTAAGAAGCATTTTTATAGTACACAAAATTGTGTTTTTGTCTCTGCTCTCCTCCTAGTTTTGGTTTTATAGGGCGGCAAAGCTTAAGGTGGCCATATTACACTCACGTATCTTATTTATAGTTTAATAAGGTAACAATAATTATGAATGTAAAACAGTTCAATAATACTATACTAGGTTTAGAATAATTTACTTTTAAAGATAATTGATATGCTCGGATTCTATGCATGCCGCTGTCGACGTATCGGCATCGAGCTCCGTGGTCTTTACCGGCACTAGGCAATTTTTTTAAGTTGTAACTGATATATAAATAAGAAGGAACTTGAGCAATTAACCAAACCGATTTGCCAATACTTTATTAAGATTATTATAAAAAATTAAATAAAATACTTTATTTTTCTCTTACAAATTTTTTTAAATATCTATATGTATATAAAAAGTCACAAGAGCAATTTTATTAAATTGCAATACAAATTTTGCTAAAATGTACCTATTTAATTAAAAGGAATTTAACATTTTTGATGTTTACGAAAACATTGAAATGAATCAAAATAATCATAAGTTTTAACAGGTTTGAAATTACAATAAATTCGTATCACCTACCCTCTAAATCTAATAAAAAACGTGCATATTCTGCTTTACTTGTCTTAAGTAGTTGTGAGTGGTTATACTTATGTTATTCCACGACACAAGTAGGTACTATTTACCATAAAATTCTTATATAAACAAATAGTATTGCGCATATTGTTTGCGTGATAAACTTAGGAATACAATACAATACAATACTCTTAATTGTACACCAAGAAACGCTAAAAATATCAAAAATAAAAAATTAACAACTATTGAGGGAAATACTAAGAGCGGTCTTATTGCTACATAGCAATCTCTTTCAGACAACCCAGGAACAGAAATAAATAAAAATAAGAAAATGAACAATAGGTAGGGTGCACTAAAATAAAAATAACAAATAAAAAAATAAACATACAAACTTGTGCGTTAAAAGACTCTCCAGGTGGATCAATGACTAGGGCTGCCATCTTTAAAACCTGCCCCCCAGGACCGGAAGCGTAAGTTCCCCGGATTTTGGAGCTTTCACCCCGGACATTTCAATACTTTTTTCATTCACTTACATCTTGGTTAAAGGACAATGTTAAAACTCGCCAAAGAACTAACATATATTTGACAATTACTAAAATTCTTATCCTTAATTATGCATTAGATAACATTCATTAGATAGTAACGGACACTTTTTGAACTTTGTACCTATTTTTTAATACTATTGTGCTGCGTTGATGGCCTCCTGTGATTTGGCCAATCGCACAATACCTTCACTCACATATTTCAAAATTTGCCATAAACTCAAATATATTATGAAAACATTTATATTTTAAAATATATCTCAGATTAATATATGCCACAAGAAACTGGGGTACAGTGAAATCATCTATTTTCATTTAAAATAACAATACTATTGTCATCTCATTGGCAAATCAGCATTGTGCCACGCAAAAAAAGTCAATAACGTTGACAGATGACAACACGTCAAAATAGATAGACGTCAGACGTGCTATTGTTTTGGTTTCGTTTGAAAAAATACATTTTTGTAAATGTTTTAGGAATCTAAGTATACTCTGTAGTTGGTTTGTTATGCGATAAGTTTATATAAATTACGAACAACGGATATCGATACTCTTCTTTAGCCACCTACCTGGCTTGAATCAGGGACTTTAACCAAATGAGACTGTATAAGTTGTATTTTTTTTTATAGGATAAGGGTGACAAACGAGCACACAGTCCACGTTCACCGGGCGCCTAGGGTTTATGCGTTGTTCGCGCGCCCAGCCAAGTATTGAATTATTTTAATTTTACATTATCTCTTAAACTATGCGTCCAAATAACATGGTATAAGGAACAAAGTTTATCTTCATAAAATTGTCTTGATGATGAAGTAGTTTTCGTTCGTAAGGATAAATAGGTCATGCCTAATAATAATCATAAATCACTTTTAAATTTTCAATATTTTTTTGTCACAAAATACCTATTTATGGCCCATGTATAAGAAATAGACATATAGTATCGCGGACTTATTTTTCTTTAAGATCTATATTTTTCTAAAACATTGTATTTACGTATCCCTAACGATAACACCAGCGTACGCGGATAAATCATTTCGGGAGTGCTTTTTCTTCTGACTTGCTTAACAAAAAATCCATATTTAAGGCTAGCTGAGTAATATAGCTTAATGCTAGATAGCCTATACTATTCCACATAAATCTGGCTGTAATATACAAAAATAATTTTTCAAATCGGACTGGTAGTTCCATAGATTAGCGCGTTTAACAAACAAAAAAACAAAAAAAACTCTTCCGCTTTATTATATTAGTATAGATATAAATGCTAGGCTAAGACTGAACTGCTTACATTGGCTATAACATAGTATCTAATGTTTCATAAACATAAAACATAACCTCAAAATCTCTATGATTACTGCAAATATCTAAGTTTACAGAAGTGTTCGTCAGGAGTTATTGTTCTTAAATACAATTATGTGTAATTTCGGACTGAAAAAGGTTTTTTTTTTCACTGTTGGTTCTTAGGCGAATATTGTATGGACGCAAAACAATGTCCTTTATTTTACTCCGTACTTGATAGGAGAAAACTTTAATTTTAAGCCTCTTTTATTGCATGAAATAGTGTGTTTAATCGTTCTTGTGACGACAAGTGAGTAATTTTGCTTTATTTTTTAACCTATTAAATAGTGTCGGCAGCGCGTACGGTGAAATGCCTAACCCATAGCTTACATACATAAATTATGGGAACGGCATCTGATCGAAAAACCGGAAATTTATTGTCACCCGGACTACAATATAAACCCCGCCCGGACGCTCCCCGGACGTCTTCCAAACTAGGACAAATCCGGGAAAACCCGGACGGATGGCAGCCCTATCAATGGCCATAATTAAGCGGAGGAAGGGAGAGGGTTACAGAGACAAATAGTATTCCTTAACCTGTTTCTGGAACACATAAGGATCGATCACTTTTAATTGACTGGGGTAAGGAGTTCCAAAGTCTTACTCCAAGAACAGAATATGATTTGTCATAATAAGTCGAGGAATGCACAGGAAATTGGAGCGAAATATTTTTTCTGGGTCGTAAGAAAAAATTATGACAGGAGCTGAGCAATTTAAAACGTTCTTTTAGATAGGAAGGACTTGATATATTAAATACTAGCTGACGCGGCAGACGTTATTCTGCCCTTTCTTGTTGGTGGCACTATTAGTTTATTTTCACCCACACACTTTTCTGTAGACTTACAGCTAAATCCTCTTTAGGAATAATAGCAGCCATAATCACAATAAACTAAAAAAAAAAAAGAAAACACATGACCCTTTTATTACTCTTCCGTAAGCGGGTAAAAAGTTAGCCATATGTTTTACACGGTCATTTACAGTCTACATACAAAATTTCATGGAAATCTGTCCAGTAGTTATTGCGTGAATCGTGAACAAACAATTTTTATACAGATTTATTATATGTATAGAAGACGCAGTAGAGAGCAGATTGGAAGCCACTTGAGCTTAGTGTGGTATTCTGAGTCATGGTCATATTTACGAAACCCAAATATGAACAGAGATTTTGGAGTCGCTCAAGTTTGTTAAGTTGCTCCTCGGTGATATCAAGGTAACAAATGTCAGCATAGTCGATAGGATGGGTAAACATTGTGCAAGCGTAATTTGGAGTAAAAGAATGAGGATATCCGCAGTAGAACCAGGGTGACCGACATAGCCCAATGGATTAGTAAGCTGAAGTGGCTATGTGCCGGCCATATAGCTCGAAGAACCGACAACAGATGGGGAAAAAAGGTTTTCGAGTGGCAGCCTCGTACCGGTAGACGAAGTGTAGGGCGACTCCCCACTAAATGTAATGACGACTTGGTAAGAGATGCAGGCAGTTGATGAATGCAGGTGCCTCAGGACCGTGCTTTGTGGCATTCCTTGGGGGAGGCCTATGTTCAGCAGTGGACTTGTGAAGGGCTGTAATGATGATAATGATGTGATGATTGCGCATATTAAAAATATGACTGTCTTAGTATGGCGCTTAAAGTACGTTTATGTTATTTATTTTAGTGCACCTGTGCGTGCTTACTCACTCGTGCTATATAATCCTGTCCTGCACGGATGGCTAGTCTCCTTTGAGACCGGCCACCGTGACTGAAATTCGGCCTGTAGGACATTATTACTACCGGTGCATAAAAATAACGCTGGTTGAATTGCATTTTAATTTTTTTTATGTCGTAAAGCATATATTCTACTTTGCATAGCTAGTCACTCTTCAGCCCATTATATCTGTTTTTTTTTTAAATAAAATAAGTGTAACAAACGAGCACACAGTCCACCTGATGGTAAGTGAATGCTTTGTCATCTACATTTGTCTTCAATTAACAATCAAAATGCAGATGCGTTGTCAACCCTCTGAACTAAGATATAAGTTCTCTACAATCAATTTTACGCGGTAGAGCCATGCTGCAGTTATATTACTGGTATAATTGTAGCAAGAATGGGTCGGCTCGACCGGGGAAGGATCACGCTCTCACAGAATACCAGTGTAAAATAGCTTAACGCTGCTGTATTTATTATGGTGAGCACCGGAGACCCCTTTTACTGGAAACGATTCATTCCATCTTAGTCATCATAGGTGGCAACGCATCTGCATTTTGATTCGTAATCGAGGATAGATGTAGATGTCAATGGGCCACAGCAACCACTTACCATCAGATGGATTGTGTGCTCCTTTGTCACACTTATTCTATAAAGAACGAAACACAGCATTCAACTGTTTGATGCTGATATTCTGTGAGAGCGTGATCCCCGGTTGAGCCGACCCAATCGTGCTACAATAATATAGCTGCAGCGTGGCTCTACCACTTAAAAAAAGTCTAACATCTATGGTTATTGTATATGTATATTACGATCACTGATATTTTTAGGGCGGCTATGCAACGGTGGGTCGGGCGCCTCGGGGACCCTTAACCTCTACGCCGGCGCCTCCCGATCCTGCAGTACCTGAGTCCACTGAGCAACAGCTGCGCTATGAAAATGATCGCCTGAAACTTGCACTTGCTCAGAGGTAAGACAATTTTACTATATTAAAGCCTAAGTGTACTGCCTGTATAGCTCAAAGAACCGTCAACCGATAATAAAGAAAGTTTTTGAGTAGCAAGCAGCCTCGTATTTTTTTTTCCGTTTTTAGGAAACCAAAGTGGATTGCGAATGGAATACAGTTTTAATTTGAGATTTTATCTGTGTAACTGCGTTTTTTAATGTGATAATTTTTAGCTGTTTATGATTTAATTTTGAGACTGGCAGCCTCGTACTGGCAAACGCAATGTTGGGGCTCCTTACTATGTGGTGACGACTTGATTAAAGACACAAGTAATCGATGGATGGATAGCTCAGGACCGTAATTTTAGACAATCTATGGTGGAGGTCTATGTTCAGCAGTAGACTTGTGACGGACTGTGGTGATGGTGAATATGTGAAAGTCTAAGCTTTTGTATATTATATTTATACAGGATTATTTTTCAAAGAGTGGCCAAATTTTAAACTTAAGTTCAAATATATAATTAATGATATACCGTTATTGCAGTTTTTGAAATAACGAGTAAATAAGGCTTCTACTATTATTTGAAATTATCCCAAATTGAATGTGATTTATGGGCAACAACGTTTTTGCCTACCGATCGACCCTTACGAATGTGTGCGTGCGCAGTAAAATCAGTTAAAATAATGCATTACCATGCATTTTGAATTTAATAAACGGACGCAAAATGTTGACTAAAATAATTGGTAACCACTGAAGTATACAAGGTTATTTTGCAATAACCGGCCAAATTTACACAGAAAGTTCAGAATAAGTAATATAGGCAAACGGTGAATAAAAATTAATAAAAAAAATCTCAAACATTCTGTCCTTTTTACCTTTTTAATTCAAATTTCGTGGTAATGCATTATTTTAACTGATTGTCATTCATAAATATCTAAACGCTTACTATTTTTCTACGCACGCACACATTCGTAAGAATCGGTCGGTCGGCCAATCGTGTGACTACGTGCAACATTGTGAATTGAATCGCACACAGAGGAGCGCGCGGTACGCGTAGTTGTTGCCCACAAATAACATTCAATTTGGGATAATTTCAAATAAAAGTAGAAGCCTCATTTACTCGTATTTTCAAAAACTGCAATAACGGTTATATCATTATTTATATATTTGGACTTAAGTTTAAAATTTGGCTACTCTGAAAAATAACCCTGTATATTATTTAATTTATTAGGTATTCTCAGTTTTTGGAAGCATTGTGTAGGCACATAAACCTTTATCAGTGGAATTATTAAATAAAACATGTTTATATATTATGTAACAATAAAAAGTTTATTACATTGCGACAGTTTTTGTACAACACTTACGAACTACGAGAAAACAATGAAAACGCTACAGTCTTATTTTTATAATCTAATTAAGAACGATAACTTTTTAAACAACGACCCTTATTACGTAAGGCATAAAGTATAATAAATATTAACAATCAAGCATCTCTCATTTTTGGCATTCGTAAGCAAGAATTTTGCTTGGAAATATCACAATAACGAGAATGTCAATGGATAAGTGCCAATATTCTTTACATGTTGTGATTATTACAGATATGAATAGTTTTCTTTTATTTTCGAAAATATGAAGCTTTTATTCAGTGTTTCGTTAATACATTCTAAGAAAGCCGCGACTCCGGAGTTCAACTATATCGAAATGAATCAAGTGTAATTTGCTGTAAAAGCTGCATATATGTACTTGTGTGTCACTATTTTCGCATAATTAATTATACAGGTGCGAACGAGAGGTGCGATGCATGATATGCACACGGACCATCAATCACTAATAAAAAACTAGATACGCAATCAGTGACAAAAAATTTCCTTACCGAATGAGCGCCCACTCGTTAATTTGTACGTAGTTTTGTGAATACAACTTTAGGCAATGCAATTAAGGTTGAATTTACATTAATGTATATTTATTTCAACTAAAAGAATTACGTCAAAACATTTGGCGACAGTTTTTAGAGAATTTTGCATGGGATTGTGTATCTAGTTTTATATTAGTGATCGATGACATGGACACATTTAACACTGGCCGCAACTGCATATATTAATTTATAACTATGGAAGTATTAAAAATGATGTTTACGAAAACGTAATACATAATCGCAATAGTTTTGATTCTTTACCAATTTATCATTAACAAAAATAGTCTGACAATCTTCAGCGTTACACATTTTAATAGCCATATATCGTTTACGGTGATACAAGTTTTGGACAAAATAAAACTACAAATAAGACCGCCTTAGTAAATAGAGGCTCTATAGTTCGGTCTCGGGCGTGTCATGTTTGACGGCCTTTTAGCTATTAAAGATAAAAACAACAGATAAAAACATCTAAATGACTGGTTATTATAGACAATATATACGTTAAAAAATAAAGTTTAAATTGTTTAAAAGATATTTAGACGACATTTTTTCGCCTGGGGCTCATGCTCTATGTACAGGTAAAGACGGAACTGGCCACAAATTAATCAAAACATGTAAACGTTAATAACAAAAAAAAAATGTAGTTGTAAGAATTTTATAAGTATTACCATTTATCATTCGATATTTAATTTTAAGAAGCTAAGTTTTAAAACAACGTTGAAGATTGTTGACAAATTTCATGTAAATTTTTTACTTCGGCTGTATTTATAATAAAAACAATAGAATATTGCACATTCCTTCAGAATACTTACGTTAAAACAGTAATTTTAAAGCGTGGAATAAAGCGGATGTCCGTTACAAAGAGTATGCAGTATCAATGCTCGTAACTGCCTAACGAAGGCATGAAACCTTCCTCGCTGTTCTGGAAGTCTTGCTGATAGTGAACCGACTCGTAGGACGGGTTGCTGATTTTGTATTCTTCTTGATGTTTCGGGGTTCCTGTAAGTGAATTGGAATGTCAATCATACGAGTTTTTATTTTTAGCATAAGGGTGACAAACGAGCACACAGTCCACCTGATGGTATGGTATGGTGGTTGCTGTGGTTCATAGACATTTAAATATGCAGATGCGTTTTCACCCGTTAGGACTAAGATGGAATCTCTCGTTTCCTGTACAAGGGGTCACCATACGAAACACAGCGGCGTTAGGCTGCTATTTTACGCTGGTATTCTGTGAGAGCGAAGTACTTATCCGGACAGCCGTCCCATTCGTGCTGCATCTATACTACTAACATAGCTGCAGCATGGCTCTTAACACGTAAATATACGGAGTACATGATTTTTAAGATACATACGTTCTAAATGTCATATAAGATATGTAGAGCCACATTTTTTCTATAGAATAAGGGTGACAAACGAGCACACAGTCTACCTGATGGTAAGTAGTTGCTGTGGCCCAAAAAGGAAAGTGTACAGGCTCTCTCTATTAGCAAGTTTAAATGTTTTGTTAAGTTGAAACTGTATAAAAAGGGTTATTATAGTATAAATGAATACATGGTTGATAATAACCCCTGGGAATGAGGTGATCGCTTCCAAGCTGTTTCTAAAATAAATTTTGTACTTATATAGTTTGTACAACCATTATTGTAAAATTTGCTTTAAAAAAAAGTCCCGCTGGGTTTCTTGCTGGTTCTTCCCACGACAGAGGTTTTTTTTCGAACCAGTAGTAAAGTAAAAAATGACTTTCAATAAGAATTACACATGTGACCTATATTGAATAAAACATTATTCTATTCTATTCTATTCATAGACATCTACATCTATCCTCGATTACGAATCAAAATGCAGATGCGTTTCCAGTAAAAAGCGTCTCCGGTACTCTACGCTCACCATAGAAAATATATTTTACGCCGGTATTCTGTGAGAGCGTGGTCCTTCCCCGGTCGAGCCGACCCATTGTGCCACAACTATATTAGCTACAGCATGGTTCTACCACGTAACGTTCTAGCTGCAACATGAATGGGTTGATTCCACTGTGGAAGGACCACGCTCGTACAGAATACCAGCGTGAAACAACAGCAATAATGCAGATTTGTAGTAGAGAACCGCCATGCTATTTTTTGTTCCGTTTTGCCAGCTTACAAACGTACTTCAATAGACCTGAGTCTCTAACTACTCTATTGCTCAGAGAACTATGAAACGGTCTACGTTCGAGTTTTCCAAAAGAACCAGATTAGCCGACGTGGCCCAACGGATCAACAAGTGCCATATAAACAATAGGTCTGACTACCGTAGAGGATAAAGAGTTCTTTATTTAGTGTAGATACTAGATATGTAGAATTTTTTTACAAACGTCAAGGTGACAAACAAGCACACACACTATCCACGTGTATGTTCGGTTAAGGGTCAAAATGCAGATACGTTGTCACACCTAATGACTGAAATGAAATGCCTTGTTTTCAGTAAAAAGGGTCGCTGGTTTTCGTAGAGAACTCACCATGCGAATAGCAGCGGCATTTGTTGTTTTACTCTGGTATTCTGCGAGAACGTGGTCGTTTTCATTCGAGCCGACCCATTCGTGCTACAACTGTAATATAGCTGCAGCGTGGTTATATGCGATTAAGTACCCCAGCATTCTTTTAACATTAAAATTCGCTTCTGTTATATTTTAGTTGAAGGTATACTTACCAATTTTGTGGACAACTGCATTAAATCCGTTCTTATCGTCCGCTTCGTACTCCACTACGCGTTTTGTGCCGTCAGTTTCGACAAGAGTATAGGTACCTGTGTCAATGTACAGAAAATTGTGTTATTAAATTATGTTTCATTATCGTACATTGCTCTAGATTGATTATGGATAGGCTGGATATAGAAAACCTTTTCATGAATGTGATTGCTTGCACTTTGCAACTTGCACTTGCACTTGTGCAAGCACTGCTGTTTTTAAGTTTTTAAACTTACCCCTTACTCACTCTCAGTTTTTAAGTCGTCACTACGTTGACATGAGAGTAGATTTAAGATTGTCATGAAAATTCTTTATCTCTTTGGATACATATAATTACGGTGAAATCAAGTTATTTAAATTTATTTCAGCTAACAAAATATGTAATAATTTTCGCGAATAAACATGCATAAAAATAACTAATGGAGTTTTGTTAGGTGTTCGTTTACAAATCACTTTCTTATTTTTTAAATATTGTAATGGATAACAAATCTTTTTACAAGGTTCTTTTTAACGATTAAATTATATAATATAAACTACCCGACATATTAAAAAATGAAAATAGTGACATCATATTTACAAAAAAATTAAAACAGTTCCTAACTAATAAAGTTAGTAGTTTTAGTTTTTTTTTTTATTATAGTTTTTAATTTCTTTAATAAATGTTGTATACTAATAAATGTTACTATAGTACCAATGAACATGTTATAAGTAATACATATATTATAGGTTATACAAAATGTCATTCTTACAAGTAGTTAAATACGCTTCCTCTCTCCTAGCCTCACATTATTTTGGTCTCACACTGGTGTCACATTATTTTATAACATGTTGTGTACATTATGGTTTAGCAGTAAATGTTTGAATTTGAGTTTTGATTATGCGCCAATTTAATTTATACTAGTGTTGGATACAAAAACTACATAGATATTGTCATCGGTCGGTTAGCATTAGGAAAGAGTTTGATGTTTTTGGCTTACCCTTGACTTTGTCTCCATCTCTTGTCTCCCAGTGCTCCTTGTCGTCACCAGTGTGCGGGTCCTTCACTGAATAGTCGAAAGAGTATTTGGGATGCGACTGAAAACATGAGATTTTTTTATAGTTATAGAGTAGAGAAAGAGTAGGTAGTAGATGATGGTTGATAATATCCCCCATATTTACCATGGTTGCTACACTTGACGGGCGGGTTAGCAAAGGCAGTTTATTTTTATTTTTCGTCGTTATTAGGAAGACGCTGCTGCCCGTCTCCTGATTTGTTTCCCTCTGTCGCCTCTTTAGACACCCACGGGATGATATGGGGTAGTGGATATTCTTGCACCGTCACTACACGTTCAGGAAAGTGTATAAAATGTAAAGTAAAGTTACAGCCTAAATAAGTCCCACTGCTGGGCACCCCTCATTTCTGAGAGAGTTTTAAGGCAAGGAAGTATCCGCCGCGCTACCCCAATGCTTGGTGGCGAACTTCACATGTCTTCGAAATATTTTTTTTCTTTTTCCTTGGACATGCAGGTTTCCTCACGATGTTTTCCTTCACCGCCGGGCACGTGATTAATCAGTACTTAAAATTGCAATTAACAATTTCATTGGTGTCGCCGGGAATCGAACCCGGTTTGCTCGCGTACTGTGAAATTTACAGCGAGCGCTAACCATCTGAGCTACCACGGCTCTAAAGGTAAGTGTATGCTGTGGCCAATATACAGTTACACCTAGAGCAAACGTGTTCGTATACCCATGGTTACAACAAAAAGCTGGTTACCAATAAAAAGAGTCTTCCATTTCCCGGGTGACACCGCTACACACTTGCCTTCTGTGCGAGTGTTTTTCTTTTTTCGTCGAGCCGACCCATTTGTATTGCACCCGTAATAATCTCTAGCGTGACTCTATCACATCTTGATTATAGCTACTTTTATGAGCAGTAAATTTTTTTAATAGACATTCTATCGCTTCTTAAAAGTCACAAAGCCGTTAAATATTTACTGCCATCCCTTTTTTGAAAATGTACAGACCAGAAAATTTCTGGATTATTAGAATGAATGTCTTAGGTACCGGGCATCTGATACTATAATGTCCAAATTATAATCGTATAATCAACACAGTAAGGTACATTTTCCCAGTTTGTGCTCCCCACAGTCTCAGACATCGTTGCCTTTATCCCATTGTCGAATTTTCAGACGTTAATGACGATAACTTACATGATAATCAATTTCGTAATCTTCTCCATGGTTCTCATCTAAGGTCTGATGTTGCTCGATTGGTTGCTGAATACTGTAGCCCTCGATGTTGTGACCTTCAAAACCGCCGTAGCTTTCATAACCGGCGAGAGCTGACGACACCACTAGGAGGATAGTTGCGCATTTCTGCAATGTTAAAAAAGAACAAATAGATTATAAATAGTAATTAAAAAAAATCTAATTCTAATATAATGGTGTATAATATTTTTCTTTTTTTTCTTCTTTATCGACACAAAAGTTTACTGGACATAAGGCCTCTCTCCTTATGCAATAAGGATATTAATTTAAATTAATCAATACCGCTATCTATATTTTCATACTAAGTCTAAATTATTGTTTTCGAAAATTTCGTGACGTGTCCATAAGGATAGGTTACTCTATTCACCTTTTTTTAAACAAATATCTACCTAGTATAAAACAATATCTCTTCCCGCCGTCTGTACGCTTAGATCTTTTAAACTATCACAACCGATTTATTCCAGTTTTCATTAATAGAGAGAATGATTCAAGAGGAAGGTTTAATATATGTATAATACATGCATATTATATAATTCTTTGTCCGTGTGTATGTGACTGAACTCCTAAACGCCTGGACCGATTTTGATGAAATTTTGTGTGTGTGATTAAGTTGATTAGAGAATGGTTTAGATTCCCAATTGGACCCAGTAGGTGGCGTTTTTGTCGTTGGTGGCGGATCGCTAGTTTTACAAATATAACTGACGTTTTTTTGGACTCAAAAAAAAAAAAGGCGCAGCCTAAATTCTCGTCTAGGTGAAATTGCCATTAGAAACTATCTTTCATAAATTAATATATTATATTCTGTTCACAAATCAAAATGTAAGTATACGGCATTTATATAGTGAAAACCGCGCATCCCGCGATGTTTTGTACGCGCGTGTTAATTGCCTACCTATCTTATAAAAGGGCCTTAAGTAGATCGGATATTTTAAATTAACGTTCAGCATCTTAACAACATATAAATCTAAACACAAAAGTCAATTATGGAATTCGTTAGATTTCAACTCAAAAGCCAAACACCCAGACCACTCGTACTCTCGTGTAACTCTGACGAATTCCATTGTGTTCATTGAAAGCCACTCAAATCGCCTCATTGAAACTTAAACTTTCCACGGTGGTCATCAGTTACGTTCCGCAAGTCACCGCAAATTATTGTTGGCAGCTCGTTTATGTGCTATCTTCAAGAGGTTTTCTATAGCACATGTCATTCTTAATAAAGGCGTGTTTATATGAAATGCGGAAGCGATTTTATATTTAACGTTAATGCAGCTTACTAAGGACGTGATCTTTATTTATTATTGCATAATAACAAAAGGAACTCCATTAAGTGGGATAATACTCAAGCGCTGGTATATACTAGTAAAAAAAGAACTATTTCATATATTGTCTAACAGGGTTATTTTGCAATAACCGACCAAATTTACAGAGAAGGTTCAGAATAAGTAATATAGACAAACGGTGAAGAAAGATTAATTAAAAACATCTTAAACATAATGTCCTTTTTATCTTTTAAATTCAAAATGCGTGGTGATGCATTATTTTACAGATTTCACTGCGCACGCACACATTCGTAAGGGTCGATCGGTAAGCAAAAACGTTGTTGCCCATAAATCACATTCAATTTGGGATAATTTCAAATAAAAGTAGAAGCCTACTTACTCGTACTTCCAAAAACTGCAATAAGAGTATATAATTATTTATAATATATTTGAACTTAAGTTTAAAATTTGACTATTCTTTGAAAAATAACCCTATAATTTTTTTCTAATATACTTTTAAATTAAATCTTTAGCTTAATGACCATAAACTAAGTACAGTAAATAGCCTAAAGTAAAAGTATTGGGTTCGAATCCGCCATTCGGACACTGTCGTGAGCAATAGAATAGAATATAATAGAATAACTTTTTATTCAATATATAATTTTTATTGAAAGTAATTTTTTTACCACTGGTTCGGAACCACTGGTGGTACAAGAATTTAAAGATTTATTTGGAGAGGTTATGTTGATGTTAATAGCACTGCTGATAGTGTTTAAAAAACGCGGTGACGCGAACCCGAAAGTTTGTGCCCTAATAAAAATCGCTTAACGCGGCTAAAGAAGTTTCCACTTAAAAAATTAACTACTCTGTCATTATTAAAAGCATTTCGCCTCAAAACGAGGCGTATCGTAAATGCCTCAAGCATATTACACTCACCGTCCTGTTAAAAACTTGGTTTATTGATAGTCTTGGGTTATTTTTTTATAGGATAGGGTGACAAACGAGCACACAGTCCACCTGATGGTAAGTGGTTGCTGTAGTGTAGCCCATAGACATCTACATCTGTCCTCGTTTGCGAATCAAAATGCAGATGCTTTGTCTTCTATGGAATTCCTTATTTTACATTTTAGTACGCATATTTCCGCGGGTCTTCTTTCGTGAAACAGATTCTAGATTAAACAAGAGACTAATTATTAACTTATATTTGTAACTAGCTGGTACCCGGCGCATTGCTGCCGCAGAAAAACAAATTGTGAAAATATCGTTTTAAATTTGGAAAAGTTATATTGTTTAATTATTAATGATAATAAATTCATTGAAATTGAATCGCATATTATGACTTTCAAATAAATATTAACGCGCAATATAAACGCGCGCCACCTATTGTAAATTATTTGTACTATGCCTATATCCGTCGCGAAAGCAAAATTGACAAAGTTTTAGCGCAATCTGATAAACGGTATGGCAGCGCATAAAATACGAACATACAAACATTATTTTTTAGTATAACAGATAATACGGAATAAATTTAGGCTAATCGTCGTTTCTAATAAATAATAAACATTAACTTTCTCATCTGTAAAATAAACAGTTATAAAGATTAGCATCATAGCAAGTGCTTAGTAATATAACGTGTTACGATAATGGTGGTAATTAAACGTCAAATAACCATTATGTCTAGTTATAAATGATTATCTATCATCGGCTTTAAAATTCCGTTACGCATGCTATATATTGGTTGACGGTGTTTCTTGTGCGATCGCGTGGCTTAACTTACTATACTTAAAATACTAGCTGATACCCGCGACTTCGTCCGCGCTGCTTGATATATTAACAAAGTTTTCGTATATGCGAAGGAAATAACGTCAAAAAGCCAAAATTACTTTATAAACTATGTTATTCATTGCTGCGTTTGTAGCTAAAATAATATATCAATTATCGGGGTTAGTAACGCGATAGCGAGCAACGTACAGTTGACCGTATGAAATACCCCTTATAAAAGTTGTTGTTTCTTACAACTTTAATAACTTTATATTACATGAAAATATCGCAATATTTTTTTATAGATAAGGCAAAGTGCCTAAGAAATAAAACTTGAAAAACCTAATTGAAATCTATCCAGTAGTATTTCCATGATGCGCGCACAAATATGAACTTCTATCACTTTATTTATATAGATAGATTTTATAGAGTAAAAGTGATAAACGAACTCACAGTCCAAATGATGGTAAATTAATGATGTGACTCATGGACATCTACATTTGTCTGTCATTAAGAATCAAAATGCATATGCGTTGTCACCCCTGAGGTCTAAGATGAAATGCCTCGTTTATAGTAAAACAGTATCCGGTTCTTTACACTCACCATACGAAACACAGCAGCATTAAGCTGCTATTTTACGCTGGTATTCTGTGAGAGCGTGGTCCTACCCCGATCGAGCCGGCCCATTCGTGCTACAACCATAATATATTATCACCTTGGCTCTACTACGTGTATAAATATTACTAAGATTATTTCGCCGCTAGTCTTAATGTCGCTGACTCGAGATTTTCAAATCGTTACGCATCGTGTAAGTAGGGTTACGTAAGGGAAACTCTTCATGTTTTTTTTATAGGACAATGGTGACAAACGAGCACACAGCCCACCTGATGTTAAGTGGTTGTTGCGGCCCATAGACATCTACATCTATCCTCTATTACAAATCAAAATGCAGATACGTTGTCACCCGTGAGGCTTAAGATGGAATGCCTCATTTCTAGTAAAAGGGGCATCCGGTTCTCTACACTCACCATACGAAACACAGCAGCGTTAAGCTGCTATTTTACGCTGGTATTCTGTGAGAGCGTGGTCCTTCCACGGTCGAGCCGACCCATTCGTGCTACAACTATACTTCTAATATAGCTGCAGCATGGTTCTACTACGTTAAAATAATGTATGACTCTTTCTCCAAATGCCACGATCACTTGCACGTGGCACGGGCTGCTTATTAATTAATGAACGAACCAACGACTGTCATTATCCTTATCTATTGCAAACATGCCGAACCTAAACCTGGTACTGGTGATGGGAATAGATCTCCAGTTCGATGTTTTGGTGCTGTGCACATACATCTTTTAAGAATGTGCTGAAGAACGCATCTTTATCGTTATCGTTCAAAATGCGTTGTGTGGCCTCTGATAATGCATGCAAATCGGTCCCATACGACATAAACGTTGTTACATAGCATGACCAATAGTGAGTAAGGAATAGCGAGTGACCCTTTTCGGTTGCGTATTGAGACAATTTTAAGCCGTGTGGCCAACCAATTTCGTCCCGTTTGTATCGAAAGAGGCGACCACAAGAACGACAGAATAACCTGGCCTCCGATAGTAGTTGCGGTATGCACACCTGTCACCCAGAGGGGCGGTACGCACATATACATAAACACTCACGTCTGTTACCCAGGGTTAGAGGTGGAGACTACGGACGTTTGGACTTTCGACATTTGGCAAGTTCCTGATACACCTCTCTGAAGGAGGGGTCACTTCCATATACCTACGTAAATATAGCGGTATACAGTTTCGTATATACAGCAGAATAGGAGGGGCAAAAGAAAAAGAAGAAAATACGAGATCCTGCGCTTTTGGTTTGGTGTTGTCGTGACTTAGACCGGTTGGATGGATATTGCTTATCTTTTTTAACCGACTTCAAAAAAGAGTAGGTTCTCAATTCGAGTGTATTTTTTTTGTACGTATTTTACGCGATATCTTCGCAGTTTGTGAACCGATTTTAATGATTCTTTTTTTATTAAATAGTCTTTACCTCAAGGGTGGTCTCGTTAGATATTGAAGAAAAAAATTTGAGCCCCCAAGGATGAAAAATATGAGAAAAAGTTTCATATTGGACTATTGTTTAAGGAATTTCCTATGATATCTCCACAGATTGAGAACTGATTTTAACAATGATTCTTTATCTCTTTGTTTTTTTTTCTGGTCTATGTGGTCCCATATAAATTTGCAGAAAAATTTCCACACTTAAGGGTAGCATATAAATAACTTCTCTTTTAGCAATTAGAAAGTCGATTTTTACTTTATGTTTAAAGTTATAATTATTTTATTTAGTTTCCGCTTTATAGCCAACATTGTGCCACAATCCTTATAATATATAAGTGTATACACCAATTGCGTGTTAGTAACCCGTCACGCGAAATGGTTTCACTTTCGGAAGCGTTTTTATACTTTTTATTTCATTTAATTGATTACTTCTAAGTTCGTACAAAATTATAGGAAATAATTTATAAAATACATAATATATGAATTTAATTCTATTATGTACACGTATTAAGTCAACGACGTGGTCTAGTAATTTAGTTTTTATAATTTAGGTGTTGGGTAATAAAAAATTGTTAAGAAAAATTGTGAAAAGTTTGTTGTCCTATTTCACGACACAATTGACTTTTATGCGTAGCGTATTTGAAAAACATTCATCGAAGCATACTTTCATATTAAAATACTAAGAAGTTAGATTAAAAAGAATGCATGCCATACTGTGTAGCGTCCTTTGGGTGTCGTAAAAGGCGGCAGAGGAAAATGAGCCAGGAGATTGGTATCGTATTTCTAATTACAACTAGTAAATATTTACTGCAGTCCTTTATCTGGAAATCTAAAAGGTGGTCTACATTCAAAATTTCATAGTCTTTAATTAATCAATAAAAGGATGCATACACGTGCTTTGGTACATTCGTAGGTTTATGTTGAGGAAGGGTCAATTTTTGATGATGATTTACTACCGGATTTGAAAAGAATGACAAAAAGGCAATAAAAATAAAAATAAAATTGAAAAAAATTCGAGATGCTTTGGGTTGATTTATACGTATAAATATCAGCAAGATAATTAGTGACCAAGGGTGCTGAAAAATCGAAACGTCGAGGGTTCATAAAAATAAGTCAATTTAACGTCACGAGATCTTAAAGAATTACATTCATTCAAAAAATATTTGGTTTGCGGTCCACGTGCCGCAGCAGCCGCTTACTATCACATCCCAACTATTCTTTGAAATTTAATAAGAGTCTAAAAATTATATCTTGACTTATATCGTTCTCATCGGAGTGTGGAGACACAAGACATTATAACATTTACGTGGTAGAGCCATACTGCAGCTGTATTATGGTTGCAGCACGAATAAGTCGACTAGACCCGGGTAGGACCACGCCCTCACATAATACCAGCGTAAAATAGCAGCTCAATGCTTTTGTGTTTCATACGGTCAGTGTAGAGAACCGGAGATCCTTTTTACTGTAAACGAGGCATTTCATCTTGGTTCTGAAAGGTGGCAACGCATCTGCATTTTGATTCGTAATCGAGGATAGATGTTTATGGACCACAGCTCCACTTATCATCACGTAGACTGTGTGCTCGTTTACTACTCTTATTCTATAAAAAATGTATCGGACAATGGGGTTTTTGGCGGAAACTTGACCGGCGACAGATTGCTGCTCCTGTATTATTGTTTAAATAATGGTTTGAAGTGGATTTTGATATGTAAAAGTGATGCGATTTTGTGTATTAAGTGCCTACGCATGTGAACTATTCGTCGAAACGGTAAAACAAGTGCTCTGTTGGGGATGTGATTCTGAAGCTAAGGTGTCTGTCTGCTTAGGCGCCTTGTGATACCATCGTCTTGTTGTGATATCATCAGCTGTCTGCTGGCTCAAGTTGCAGTCGAAATATCCCAAGGGCTGCACAATGTGACGCATCAACATATTGTGAAGCAGTGTACTATAAAGGATAATTACACATTGTAACTTCAGGTTCGGAAGGGCCAGAACCCAGAGCCGTAAAGCCAGTTATTAAAAAAATACAAAGGACAATGTGAAAACTATTTTTAGTAAATCCCGCATTTAGCACATGTCTTTAATTACTGAGATAATTTTGCGGCAGAGCAAAGTCCACCGAAGTGCTGCCTTAATGCATGTGGCCGGATTTCACAGCCCCTAGAAATATTTTTTTTTTTAATTTCGCAGACTCGCATGTTTTCCTTTCTGGCGGAGCACTTAGTAAATCAGCACTTAAGATTGCAATTAAAATTTTATTGTCGCCGGCGGAGTCTCATTTTGTTCGCGCCGTATAATGTATATTATGGTAATATAGTATTTTCTCGTTAGAGTAAATAATTGAATTATAGATTAAATAATTTAAAATTTTGTACAACCGACTTTAATATATATTATTAAGGATAACTCAAAAACTATTGGTCAGACATTGATCAAATTTATATGGGACCACATGAGAAGCACCGGCTTTCAAATAAAAAAAAAAATCATCGGTTCACGTAGAACAAATTTATGAGGTAACACACATAAAAAACATACAGTGGAATTGAGTACCTCCTCCTTTTTGAAGTCGGTAGACAAAACTAAAGAAACACGCTAAAGGTAAAATTATTTTATTTTATCCTAGTGATCCTGATCAAGATAGGATAAAGTTATTAAATTATTGTATTGTCATCGGCCCTTGATACGAGTGCAAATTTTCAAGTCAATCGGCCGCCTATAAGTTGGTGAAAATTACATTAAGAGATTCCATTGCATGGATAGATAGATACACGCGAAGCTAATAAAAGCGTGTTTAAAATAATGAAATAATTCCTCGTTATACTACTTGAAAACTATCTCCGATGGTATTTTATGGAATAATCATCACCATCAACCGATAAATAGTTACAATATTTTATTATCATTTATATTTATTCACTGTAGACATATACCTTATAGTATCGTCACAAAGCCGAAATACGACCCTTCAGCATAACAAATCGGAATTATATTGTAGATGCAAGTTTAAATACAACAATATTAATTTATCTGTCGTTTCTATGAAAATACATCTAGAATTTGATTTCTTATATTTACGCTGATCACTGCAAATTGAATAAAACTAATTCTACTTTTTATTAATTCCCGACGTAGTTTTATTCAACATCTAGAATATAATAAGAATAATAGGTAATATACAATTTCTAACGATTTCCCCATATTTTAATTTAAAAAGCTTTAAATAAAATGTCAATTGCAGGAAAAACGATTGGTTATTCATAACCAACCATATTAAAAACTCTTAACTCGTGGCTAGGTCGTTTTTTTTTTCTAAAAGAAAAAAAAAACTACAGAATCGGTTTCAATAAAAATTTAAATTATTAATACACAATTACGCGTCAAATAGAATTGGTTTTAGTAGATTTATTATTCCTTCTTGAGATTACAAGACGAGAATAGTTCACTATAGTACGAAAGCACACACATAGACTTCAGGGACATGGCGGATGTATTAAAATTTGGACTTACAACACATTCCAAATGAAAAGTAACTAAAATTATCGAAGTTCCAAATTTGAATTCGACAATAAATCAAAAATGATGTCACTATTTATCAACACTGTAAAAAAAAAAGAAAAATATACTCACAATCAAAAACGCCATATTTCCAAAAAGATTAATAAAAAAACAATGTGTGAAAAGAACGTGCAACTGCGGAATGTAATGTCTGAATACGTCCGCCTACGCACTTATACCCGAGAAATAGTTAATTCTGCATCCCCTCTATTGGACGGTATATGGTAGGATCTAGTAGGGGAAATGCTGTATTTTAATTTGAAAGCGTTATTTCTAATTAATTTAACAGTTTGTATGCTTATTTATTTTTAATTTGCAAAACTGCAGTTCACGTAGGTTCCAGACGAAAGAACATTTCAGATAGAGCCTAACATAAGGCTGATCTGAAGTGTTATTTGGTCAGCCATGGCTAAGCACGTACAATTCTATCTTGTTACTTATTAGTATATATATATATATATATATATATATATATATATATATATATATATATATATATAATTTTATGACGTACCTATTTTATTTTTTTACGTGGTAGGGCCATGGTTGTAGCACGAATGAGTGGGCTCGATCGGGACAGGAGTATGCTCTCACAGGATACTAACGAAAAACAGAAGCTTAATGCTGCTGTGTTTCGTATAGTAAATATATAGAACCGGAGACCCTTATTAGTGGAAATGAGGCATTCCATCTTAGTCCTCATGGTGACAACGCACTTGCAATTTGATTCTTAGTCGATGATAGATATAGATCTCTTTGGGCCACAGCATCCACATACAATCAGGTGGACTGTGAGATAGTTTGTCACCCTTATTCTATAAAAAAACACGCCTATACCATGCAGTCACTTGCAGACTAATGGAGATGTAAAGAACAATCATTAGAGCTTTGATTAGTTGCTATATTTCGCCTTGTAGCTTTTTCTACGCAAGTAATAGTGACAAATGAGCACATAATACACGTGATCATATTGGATGTTGTAACACATGGACATATCTATATACGTTTAAGAAGCGAAATGCGAATGTTTTCTCACCCCTGAGGACTAAGGTGGAATGCCTCATTGCCAGTGAAAGGGTTGCATACGAAACATTTATTTATCTTTTATTTAAAAACTTTATTTTCCCTTTAGAAAAAAAAAAGGATAGAAAGAGCGGACATAATGCCTAAAGGCCAGTCAACGCATGGAGTGGTGAGTTTGTCGTAGGTGTAGCAATTAAAAGAAAAGAAAAATAAACCTAGCATGCTAACAGCATAGCAAGGTGGCGAAGAAATCAGCTTTGTAGCGGTTTCTAACGGTTGCCGTTGAGCAATCAGTTTCAAAATAGGAGGTTCAGATGCCTGGGTGATTAGTAATCGATTGCTGAAAACAGAATTTGAAAATTCGAAACCGTTCTCGAGATAATCGTGGGACAGACGGACAGACGGACAGACATCGTGAAATCAATAAGTGACTTCGCAAGCTTCGCCACTTAATAAATAGAAACTAAAATTAATACACATTATTATATGTAACAAAACAGATTATGATATAATATTATAAGTAAATACATATATAAACATTGATATAAAAGAAGAAGTCATTTATTGTGCTGGTAGAGGATTTTAGAGATTTAACATTATACTGCATTAAAATGCTATTTCACGCTGGTACTCCGCGAGCGTGGCGTTTCACGGTAGAGCAGATTTATTCGTGCTACAGCAATAAAATAGCAACATAATAATATGTAATACGTGGTAGAGCCATGCAGTATAATATTAATAGTATAGTTGTGTATTGAATGGGTCGGCTCGACCGGGGAAGGACCACGCTGTCACAGAATACCAGCGTAAAATTGCAGGTTAATGCTGCTGTGTTTCGTATGGTGAGTGTAGAGAACCGGAGAACCCTTTTTACTGGAAAAGAGGCATGCTATCTTAGTCCTCACGGGTGACAAAGCACGTGCATTTTAATTCGCAAACGAAGATAGATGTAGTGTGCTCGTTTGTCATCCTTATTGTATAAAAAAAATTATACAAAATATTTATTTATTTATTTATTTAACAATTTATGTACACACAAACAAAGGAAAGAACACAACATGATGAACAGTTTGTACAAGAGCACTACTTATCTCATTAATACCTATTAAGGTCTATACCTACATATAATAAGTAAATAAATATGTATTTTTTTACTTATTGTATGTAGGTATAGACCTAATCGACTATCTACATAATATAAAAGCGTTTTCAGTAAACTTTTATAGGGGTTTTTCTTTGTTTTATAAGAAACGAATTACGTAATACAAAACACTTCCATTTTCGACCCCTCCTTCCTCTAAAATTTTGTTACACCATTTTCATAGGCAACGTACCTATGTCAAGACTTCATAAAATGTTTTATTACATTTTTATACAGTAAGAGTGAAAACGAGCACGTAATACACTTGACAAGTGGTTTCTGTATTTTATAAACATCTACATCTATCCTTTATAAAGAATTAAATTACAGATGAATTGTCACCCTTAAAGATTAAGACGGAATGCGTAAACAAGTAAAACAGTTTATGGTTCGCATCACTCACTATAACTTCAGCAGCGTTATTTGCTATGTTTTTAGTATTTGCACCATGACAGCATGTTGGTACCGAGCCGACTTATGCCCGATTCCTATATACAAGAAACGCATTGTTCTACGCTATGATCGCTTTTATTAGAAACTAGCTGATACCCGCGACTTCGTCCGCGCGGCTTACGCACATCACTGAACACTAAGTGCTTATAAAAATCTTTGTTTCTTAAATCTTTAATAACTTACTATTGAATGAAGATATCACAATATTTTTTTGATTAAGAAATAAAACTTAATTGAAAACCAAATTTAAATCTATCCAGTAGGATTTCAATGACGCGCACAACTGCAAACCTCTATTATTTTATTTATATAGATTATTATGTAAAGATAAGAAATAAACAAAATCAGTAAAAAAAGACTTAACAAAGACATAAGAAATATATAAACAAGAATTTAGCATGAATACTCGTTATAATGACATCATGAGTTGTCTCTCGCAAAATAAATGATTCACACTGTATTTTAATTAAGTTTAATGTGGTCGCTTTAAAGCGACTTGGGTTAATCAAATAAATACGCTTAAAGAAATTAATTGTGTATTCTACTTATGTAATTACAATTGCCAATTCTAACTTAGTAATTTGTACGTGGTGAAGCCATGCTGCAGTTATATTATGATTGAAGCACAAATGGGTCGGCTCGACCTTTTTAACAGTGGTAGAGCCAAGCGGCAGCTTTTGCTGTCGCACGGATGGGCCGGCTCGAACCGGGGAGGTACCACGACCTCACAGAACACCAGCGTGAAGTAGAGGTTTACCTCTGCGTTTCGCTTGGTGAGTGCAGGTGGCCGGAGGCCCTTTTTACTGGAAATGAGGCATTTCATCTTAGTCCTCACGGGTGACAACGCATCTGCATTTTGATTCGCAAACGAGGATAGATGTAGATGTCTATGGGCCGCAGCAACCACTTACCACCAGGTGGACTGTGTGCTCGTTTGTCACCCTTATCCTATAAAAAAAAACCTGGAAGGGATCACGCACTCACAGAATAAAAGCGCAAAATAGCAGCTTAATGCTGTTGTGTTTCGTACGATGAGTGTAGAGAACCGGAGACCCTTTTTACTGAATACGAGGCATTCCGTCTTAGTCTTCAGGGGTGACAACGCATCTGCAATTTGATACTTAAGTGTAAATATCTATGGGCTTTATGTTAGGTTCACTGTATGCTCGTTTGTCACCCTTATTCTGTAAAAAAAACTTTAATGGGAATATTTATATTACGTTTTAATAAAGTCTAATAACTTAACAGAGACAAGTAGTGTAGTAACGGTAGCATGAAAATCCATCACTAACGAGGCTAAGTGTAGATATCTATAGGTCACAAAATCCATTTATCATCAGGTTGACTGTATGCTCATTTGTCATCCTTATTCTATAAAAAAAACTTTAATGGGAATATTTATATTAGAATACTAGCTGTGCCCGCGGCGTAGCTCGCGTATACAGGTTTTACATAAAGAATTTGTCGTTTAGGTAAGAGAATATTAAACGATTTATTTCATTACTGTATCAATAAGTGGTAACTAAATAAATCATTATCATCAAAGTTCTAAGTCGTTTATGATAGAGCTTCTGTGTAAACGACGTTAGAAGTAGGCTTAGCCGGGGTGTACACAAAAAGGTTATGGGGGCTACTAACGCGGGAAAAAGCAACATAGAGTTGGCCATGTGCAAAACAGTCAGTACTGAGGTACACTCCTACAACGCGTAAAGTTTGACCTTGCGCTTTATTTACGGTCATCGCATAACATAAACTCACTGTAACTGGGAACTGAACGCGCTTAAAACTGAAAGGAAAGTTACTTCTTAATAGAGGGTTTTTGGGCAGTGCTGCCAGATAAAAAAAAACTCATTCAGCTCTAGGACAACACAAAAAGCGCTAGATTTCATGAAAACAGCGCTTTAAAAAAGCCCTAGATTTCGCGCTAAATTAACTACAAACAAAGTTTGTGTATTTTTATATAATCATAATAAAGAAAACAACATTAAGTTTTTTTTCTGGCAATATTTTTTTGATGTATCAATACTTCGCAGGACATCGACTTATAATTATAGCAATTGCTGTCAACAGTAGTTAGTACTGTACGAACAATAAAAATGTCATTAATTGTTTTAAAGTGCAATGTATTTCGCAACTTAGTTTCAGATGTCAGCATCTGATTGCGGTTGCTACACAGTTTCTTTGTGTTATAACTTCTAAGTAACTTTTAACTTAGCTGTGCTCTAAGCAACTGACTGAAACTGAATAAAGCAAAATAAATGCGTTGCCAAAACCATGAACGAAAACTTTAATAAAGGGGATTTCCCCGCTTATAGTCGGTAAAAAAATCAAGTTGATCATCCTAAAGGGGAAGCCAGGAGATCCATAGCACAGGGTATCCTAGTTTGGACTCGTCTCCCATGCTCTTTGTTTTGTGGAAAAAATATGTTTGAAAAAGATAAACTGCAATGTACTATTTGTGGGAAAAAAT